AAGATCAGGGAGCTTTCGTGACACGTAAAATGCCCTTGAACTTCAGATGGCCCCTAGGTTGTATTGACGGGTAGAAAAGTGCCACTAATGAAGGAGCCCCGTCTGCTTCGAGGCACTTAGCATCATTGTGCTGCTCCCGCACATTTAGCTGGCTACAATAAACAAATCAGATAGACTTGCCTGCAGGAATAGTGTTAAAAGCCCTTGCACTTGTGTAGCTGAACACTTTGTTCTTGGCTGTCATGTTGAGATCCTCCATGGCGGCCTTTGTTTACAACAGGGTTTGATTCTGAGATTGAATGCTGCCCCTCTTTTGTTTCTTTGCTGGGAAATTGGACCGGTCAAGGAATCAGACGGTAGAGCGGATGCAGAGATATCACTTTTTGCATGCACGAGCTGCCTTCTTGGATGGTTTTACAGGTGCAGCCGCCTGCAGCTCTAGATGAAAACACCCACACAACTTGTTCAAAGACAGCCTCGTGGACTGTGTTAGGCTTCCTCTGGATGTGGGATGGGTTGAAAGGGCCAGTCCTCACATTACTGGAGAGGTGTGATTGATACTTTCCTTTAGCCCCAAACGACAACACGTAAACACATGAAGCTGCCTTATATTGAATCAGGCCGCTATTCTGTCAAGGTTAGTATTCCCTACTCAGACTGGCAGCGGCTCTCCGGGGGTCTTAGGAAGGGGTCTTTTACATCACCTGTCCCTTGACCCTTTTAACTTCAGATGTCAGGGATTGAGCTTGAGTCCTTCCGCATGCTAAGCAGATGCACGACCACTAAGGCTTGGCCCCTGCACTCTGGTCACACGCAAGTGTCGGAGGCTGAGACAGGGAAGTGGCAACATGGCTATTCTCACCTGATCCTAGTTGGCTTTTGCACTCCTGTGTTATCAGGTAGTGGCTCCTGGAAGGTTGGAGATTGCATCTCTACCATCTCGTGCTAGTATTTAAAGTCTCAGTTCACCCTAGGATTGTGAGCTGTAGCTGATAATCTTGGGAGGGGGACAGTTCTTTGGCTTCATGAAACCAGAAGTGACATCATCGCACTGGGCTGATGCTCTAGGATTCACCCACAGCTTTGTGGTTAAACCATAGAGTTTTGGGTAACTCCTAGGCCATCCAGAGATGGTATGGAATAGGGACCCTGGCTGGGAAGTCTCCTGCCATAATGGGAGACCTCTCCCCTGTAGTTCACCCTCAGCCTTTGCTGGGACAACATCTAAGCTATAGTCCTGTTGGTTCTGGCGCCAGTGCCTTGACCCCAGTGTCTCATCTCCAAGCAGGTCAGGGTAGCCTTAAAAATGTGTTTAAAAGCCCTACCTGCAGTCTGAAGGGATATGGTCCACTTTACCATCTCAAGATTCTAAGCCAAGCCTCTGTTGCCAGAGAGACAGACAGCTAGGATGAGCAGATACCACCTTCCTCCAGGCAAATAGCCCCATGGTTGACGTGGTCTCATTGTATTATGCTTTCCTTCCTGGCAGTATACATAGAGCTTCTTCTTGTTGTTGTTGTTGCTTTACCTCCTGGCAGCAGTGTTCCCTCTAAGCTGAGTTAGTGTGAGCTAGCTCACAGTTTCTTAGCCTCCAGCTCACACATTATTGTCTTAGCTCAGGAAGGATGGCTTCAGAGCAAACTAACTTATGCAGCAGTCAATTCACCTGCTCACAACTTTAATGCCAGTAGCTCACAAAGTAGAATTTTTGCTCACAGGGCTCTGTAGCTTAGAGGGAACATTGCCTGGCAGTATACATAGAGCTTCTTTTTGTTGTTGTTGCTCAATCTGTTAGCTTCTTAATCAGTATAACTGCCATATAATTATAGTACCCTGGCATTGCACAACCTAGTTTTTCAGAAAATTGGTAACATAAAATCTCGCTGGTAGCTTATAGTCTTCAGCCAGTAAATTTGCAATTCGCAATGCCATGTGCCAAAATGTGCAGTGTCTAACAATGGGGTGGTTGAATAATGAAGCTGACGTTTCTCTGCAGGATACTAAGGCTTATGCGATTTCTCCTTTGGTCTTGTCAGTCGTAATAGGAAGAATGTTAGAATGCTTGTGATCTCCATTTTCTTGCCAGCCAGAAGGGATAGGTAACGAGTCTTAATCCTGGTGCTGCAATGTATTCCAAAACAGCAGCACTGTTGTGTTTGATTACCTAGCACTGGATGGTGGGATGGTAGCTTTATGTAACCACAGGTACAGGATAAAAGTCTCCAGTTTCCCAGTTGAACAGCAGAAGGCATGCTCTCTCACATTTTTAACTAGCTTGATGCCCTCCCGACTGGAAATGTCTGAGATCTACACCATGGCCCGACATGCTGGTTAGAGTTTGAAATGTTCAAACATGCAAATAAAGGACAGGGCAGACGGAGAGGATTGGTCTACTGATTCTACTTATCTCTCCTTATATATAATTGAATAGTGGGTGCCAAAGTTCTAATTCTAAAATGCACTCCCTTAGTGTATGGCTGATGGCACTGCTCCTCAGCATATACCGCCACCAATCAGAAGGCAAAGCCCGGGTCCCGCCCACACCACAACTGCTGCGACAACCTGGTCTTTTGCATATGGAAGCTGATTGGACTTCACTCCATTCCACACCTCAAACTCCCCCCCCCCCCGCAAGGCAGTTGGAATGTCAGTTGCATATGGAATCTGCTGTATTCTGGTGGTGTGCAGGTCCCAGATTCATGTTTTAAAAGCAGACTGACACTGTTTGCCCAAAGCCAGAGCACTCTCCCAGAGCCTCTTTCTAGATCTCGTTGTATTTATTTCCACAACGGGCCTTATTTCTAGTAACTTATAACTCTGCATTAAGAGAAGCATTTCCTAGTGGGATAGGACATTGGGTTGGAGTGTCCCAGTTTAAATGTTGTAGGATCCCTGAACATAAGCTTGGATCCAACCAGCTTTTCTGCTACTGAAAACTGAAGGAGGTGTCCCCACAGACCATCCAACAAGACTATTCTGTGGATCATGGGACCTGCATAGACAAAAGCCATGTGAGACAGTGTAGTAAGGGTGGCAGTCGGGTGAGATACAGAGCAAAACCCTATCTGAATCCAACCCATAGTATGTTATCTTCCCCTCCCTCTCAGATTTCTGGTTGTATCTATTCTGTCTGCACCACAAAAGTAGAGGAGGTGGACCAGGTGTTCTCACAATGATCGAGAATCTGATATATATAAAAGCCCTTGCGTACTGGCACTTTCCAGCTCTCCCATTGGCTGTGCTGTGCACTCCATCAGCCTTTGGCCCATCAACCTCCACTCAAAGTACTTGCATGCCATTGGCTGGGTGCTAGGTCCACTTCTCTTCCCTGCCCACTGGCAGCCTGGCTGCTGTTCCCTGCTGTCAAAATGGCTGTCTCTCCTAACAAAAACGCTTCTCCTGTTTTGCTCCTCCATAGCTGGCTGGCTACTGAGGTGGGCCAACAGCCGTCAAACCATTCTTTTTTCCTCCGGCTGTGCAGCTCACTTTCCCATCAGTGGCTGTTGCTAGGCAATCAAGCTTGGTTCCGTCAGTAAAAAGGCGGGGGGAGGAGGCCCTTTCCAGGCCTACTTTGGCCTTTGGGGGAAACTCATTGGGGCCGGTCCTGACTAGGGTTGCGAGCTCCAGGTTGGGAAATTCCTGGAGATTTTGTGGTGGAGTCTGTAGGGAGAGGGGAGGTGATGGAAAGCTGAAGTCAGAGGGGCAGATAAAGGTAGGTTGCTGGTTGGCTGGAAAGGAGATAGGGTTACCACCTCCAGGTTGGGGAATTCCTGGAGATTTGAGGGTGGAGCCTGGAGAGGGTGGGGTTTGAGGAGGGGTGAAACTTCAGACAGATATGATGCCATAGATTCCACCCTCCAAACCAGCCATTTTCTCCTGTGGAACTATCGTTGCCAATCTCCAGGCTGGAGATCACTCGGAATTACAACTGCTCTTCAGATGGCAGAGATCATTTCCCCTGGAGAAAACAGTGGACTCTGTGTTCAGCCTTCAGTGCCAGATCTTAGGTCATGGCATGACCAGTCAATCATCCAGCAAAGAAGGAAACTTTCTGGGCCTCGTGGATATTGCAAGGGCCCTCCTAGAGTCCTGAATTGAATACAGCTCCTAATCCATCTTCCTCTCTGCTCCTCTGCTCTCTCAACATCCATGAGAGCAGCAGACAGTGAGAATGAAAGACTGCAGTATTGAACTGGCTGTGTGCTCTAACTGCAGGAAGGGTAGATCTTTTGCTTTGGGGAAACTCTTGCTCTCAGCAGGTTGCCAGTCCAGTTCCACCTCCAGGTGGTAG